ATAGCATCAAGTCATCAACTTTTTGAAGGATAAAAATCAATAACATTAAGAAAATAAGAATGAAATACAATCATGAATAAAATCTCATTGTTTGAGATTAGCATATCGGTAAGAAATTTGCTTCTACGATTAGCTTGTCTCCTTAGCCATCAAACGACTTCTACGATTAAGAATTTGCTTACAATATGTAAATCATAGACTAGATTAATTCATCAACTTTAATACACTCCATTGTTTGCTAAAAGAGTGACACAGAATGTCAAGCTGCAGGAATATGAATTCACATGATATTGTTTAGTACATAATAATTCAAAGCACTATTTCTTGATTTAGGATGGAGCAAAGAATCACCTTCCAGATAATCATTAACTATAATAGAAATGATTAAAAATTATTTGTATATTTGGATTTGGCAAAAAAACAAAACAAGCTCTTATTTTCTTTATCAATGATTAAATATCATTGAAAAGCACTTTCTGTATAATACTTTTGAAAATACTAGATAAATACATATATACACCCGTTCTTAAAATTATGAAAAGAAAATTTTATTTCTAGAATAACTTTAATAATAAATAAAAAGAATTTCTTAACATACTAATTATGCTCACATATATAGAGAAAGAGAGAGCAATGTTGCCTTCAAATTATCATTTGAAGGGTCCTACAAGAAGTATACTAAATCTTGTCCTACCAAAGAAGAAATGTCCTAATCAAGTTGAATAGTCACAATATTAATCTTTACTTATTTAATTATCCCTTGTTAAGTGCACTTTGCTATACGGCAATAGTACTTTGAAGATTCAAGTCATGCTTATTTATTATCTTCTTCAAACAAAAATTCATTATGAAAAGTAGATTTTTGCTGCTGTGTATAATAAATGCTAAGCCAAGCCAAACCAAACCAATGGTTAGGGTTAATCTTTCTTGCCAATAAGGAATGGTCTTCAAAATAAGGGCATGTTCCCTTCAACTATATAGAGAGATTTTGCATTATTTTAGCCATCTATATATATCATGTGGACCAAAATGAAAACATTCTAGAGACTTGACCAAATTATTTAATACTTTCAAATACTTGTCCATGTTTAAACCTACGTTTGCAAACCAAATTAATGTGAATTGGACTAGAAAAAGATAAGGCCAACAAGAAGATTTGTTCAACCAAAAAGCGAAAAAAAAAAAAAAAATCCCTAATGGAAGATGAACTAAAAATTGCAGAATTTCAAGGGAATGACAAGTCATCTTGTCCCAAATGACTGCAAGTTGTCATAATTAAAAAGCTTCTAGTGGCTTCACTTCACTAGCTAGTCCTCATTCTTCAGGTCTAAAAATTTCTTGTCAAGAGAAAAATAAAATTCTTAAAAAGGCCCACACGGTTTTGAGAGGAAGAAGGTCTTAAGCTACAACCGCTATCCCACTGAGACCGGTTACTACTAGCAAAGAAAGGGGAAAGAAGACAATTAAACTAAAGAAACTGAGTACAGCTATAGATTAAGTTTGGCCATGTCCAAGAAAATTCAATCACTGAAGAGAAAAAAGAACAAATTAGCGGACACGGCAATACGAGTGCTTGCCCTCACTCATATGAGCTGCATATAGGTTAACTAACATTTTCTAACAATGTCATAACAACAGTTTTCTATTAGAAAGAAAGTATTTTTGACCGTTCAATGAGGAAAAAAAAAAGAATACAACGTGGTTTTATTGTTGGAAAAATGAATCTCACATTAACTAATAATAAAATAATAAAAAGTTATATAATTGAATGGGCCTGATACAAGTCAGTTTCGTGATCGTCTGATAGAAGCAGACGAAGGTTATAAGATATGTTGATGGGTCTATGTGACAGCAAAACGTTGAATTTGCAGAAGATGAAAATAAAATCTAAGGTTAAAGGCTGGTTGTAACCAAAAAAGAAGGGGCCGGGGGAGTGAGAGGGACCGATTATCAGTTTGTAGGGTACAAGATTCGAAACCTTTTGTAGGAACCAGAGAAGAGAAACAAGAATTTCGAGACTTTTTGTGCTGACAATTATTGGATCATTGCCCGTCTCGCCACTTAGCTCATAGCATAGACTAGAGAGTGCATGTAGTGCCCTTAGGAGCAACAAACAGTCCTATCACTTGGGTCAGTGACATAACAGAAAGTCCATGATAAAAAATAAAAAAAAAGGAAAATTAATTAATCTTAGTTAAATTTAATATTTACTAACATTATTACTATTATTTATTAATTTCCTTAAATTGAAGTTTAAAAGCAAAATGCATATTTAAACTCCTACACTATTTAAGATGTTCAATAAAGATTTTTATTAGTAATTGATAGTTGATTGAAGTCCTGGTTTATTTCATCACTTGCATTTTGAAGTTTTTTTCTTATCCACTGTTAATTAGTTTATTTTTATTTATATTATATTTAAATTTTATTAACTTTATATAAAAATAATAGCTACTGAATTTTTTTTAATTTAATATTTTTATATAATTATTTTATTTATTTTTTATATAATTATTTTATTTATGATTATTTCAAGATAGTAAAGCTATTAAATATTATGGAAAAATTTAATTAGTATTTTTGTTATATAATATATTAAAATACAAAATAATATTATTTATCTATATACATATATATTTTTTGATTAAAAAAATAGACTCGATTCGCTTTTGTATTTTTAATTAGCTCTTGTGAATTAATGTTTAATATATTAATTCGACTTGACTCGATTCGTTCAAATACAGGACAATGTATTAATTTTTATTGGTGGATCAGATATAGGTTATTGGAAAACTTGCTGAGCACCTTAATCATAAATATGCTTAGCAACTAACCGGCGTAATTATCACTCTCTAATTCCCAGTTAAATAAAAACTTAATTTTCAAAAAAAAAATTTAAAATTCTATATGATAAATAAAATTAAAAAATTTAATGAAAAAATCCAATAATATTCAAGATTAAATATTCATTTTGCCAAGTTTAAACTAGCAACCTAATTATAACAAAAAAAAAAAAAAACTATAATTTTACTAAATTAAAACTCGTTAGTAATATTTATTACTATTGTTTTTTTTATCTAATCTAAATATTCTTTTTTTTATTTTTTATTTCTTCTGGGGTGGAAGAATCTACTCAATACCTTTTTTCGAAAAGAAAATAGAAGAAAAGAAAGTGATAAAATGGGTGGAAAAATCAACATTGTCAAGAAACAGAAGGTCGTCCATTGGATCTTAAATCTGATTTCAACTGCACGAAAAGCAGAGTCACAATCAATATCCTGTGAGAGAGACAATTATCGACCTGCTCATGACCTTAACTACTAATTATGCTTATGAATTGCCATGTGATTAGACAATTAACCATTAATTTATGGATTTAGGGTTTAGAGTTCAAGGTTTTCGGACTTAGGGTTTCATTTTTTAAAAAAATAATCTTTATATAGCGATAAGTATATAATTGATCCAATTTTATAAATTTGAACATTCAATATAATGATCAATTTTATAAATTAAAGTGTTTAATAAATATAATTTTATTAATAAATCAAAATAAAAGTTGACACTACAATAAAATTTTTATAAAAAAGAAAAGAATGACTTTATACATTTGGTCCAACTTAATTAATACAATCCAACTAATAATTAAAAAGTTAATTATTGTTTATTGTTTGATTTAAAAAAGAAATAATGCAGTCCCTTTAGCTAAACCATGATTAAAACATAAATTGCTATCATTACCAAGAAATATACCAAGGTTTAATCAAAATATTAAACTGTGGGTTATATGGCCATTAGTTTGGGAGATTTTGAAGAATCTTTTTTTTTTTTTTTTTTTTTTTTTTTTTTTGATTTTGAAGAATTTTTTTTTTTTTTTTTTTTTTTTTTTTTTTATTTATAGGTTCAAAATAGAAAAAGAAAAGAAAAAAAAAAATATGGCTCAGAAATAAATTATGTTTTTTTTTTTTTTTTTTTTTTTTTTTTTTTTATTCATAGGTTCAAAAAGAAAAAGAAAAGAAAAAAAAAATATTTGGCAGAAAAAATAAATTTTGTAATGTAAATCAATGACTAAGTGTGATGGTAAGTTCTAGAAAGTCTATATTTGCTAGTTGAGTTAGGTATAGTATAGGTTTGGCTTGACCGCTTAAAGCAAAAAGATTAGAATAGATACACATCTCAAGTAAATTTAGTTATATGGAGGAGAAGAAAGTCCACTTTAAGTACTTTGTTTAAGTTGTTTAGAATGTATATCCTTTTCAATACATATTTAATTGGATAAAATTCCTTCAATGGGCCCAATAATTAATCAAAGGACTGTAATTTAAAAATTATTTGCAAATTTGAATGATTCATCACTTCTTGCTAAACCCATTTCTTTTCTTTTAAATTATGCATATATATATATATATATATATAAAATAAAGTGTTGATTGAATTGATAAGCAATTTAAATCTCCTAAATTCAAGGAAGGGTTGATAAGCAATTTAAATCTCCCAAATTAAATTTTTCGGAAGCGTCCTTTTCTGGAAGGATAAAAAATTTATACCTGTATGATCAAGGAAGATAGAATGAATCGATTAAGCAGCTTTTGGATTTGGAACGGGATTGCTATAAAAGAAATGCTATACACACAATGTTTCTTGAACATACAACATTTCTTGAATTTGCAAAATAAATATTTCAAAATGAATCAAATTTTTATCTTCCTAACTCGACAAGATATGGCAAAATTTTAATTAGTATTAAATTAAGATTTGAATAACCTCCTACCAAATCAAGTTTGATAATTTAGAGCATTCACAGTATTTTTTATAAAATATTTCTTATTTATTTATGTTATCTAATTATGTACCACAACACCAACTACATTTTTTATATAGCAGTGGCCACTGGCACATAAAGATCTTCAAATCATACCATTTTACCAATCCCACATAAAGATCTGGGATTCAGCATTCTATTATCAACCCACAAGCCATTCCAAGTAAAAGGTAAAACAAAGTTGAAAGTACTGCAAAGAAATAGATGAAACAGCAAATCCATTGCAGACAAGATCAAATACAACATAGATTTAAATAAAATAAAATTCATACTAATAAGAACAAACACAATCGATAAATCATAGAGAAGAAGAAGCTGATTGCAAGTTTTTACTACTATCTTCATGTACCTGAACTGTAAAGAAGTCCTGAAGGGCTATCATATCAATAGAGCAGGATTTCAATTTCTTTATTGCCCCAGCAGTTGCCAATGCACCGGCAACTGTTGTTATTATAGGAACCTTATAGGCAAGAGCCATCCTCCTCAGTTGCCGCCCATCAATCTGATCAAGTGAATCACCAGAGCTTGTGATCACCATCAATTGGATTTGCCCATTAGCAAGCGTATCACCAGCATGCGGACGCCCCTCATGCATTTTCAGCACTCGATCCACAGGGATACCTTTCAGTTCCAGAAAATGAGCTGTTCCTGAAGTCGCAATAATCTTAAACCCTAGTTGTAAAAAGGCCGTTGCAAGTTTTTCAAGACTGGGTTTCGTGAAGTCATTTAAGCTGATGAACACGGTTCCAGAAAGTGGTAGCTTCTGCCCAGTAGCAATTTGAGCTTTTGCAAATGCAAGACTAAACACAAAATCAATACCCATTCCCTCACCAGTACTTTTCATTTCAGGCCCTAACACCACATCACAGCCAGGTAACCTCTCAAATGGAAGAACTACTTCCTTGACAGCCACATGTGATGGTATCACCTCTTCTGTGAAGCCAATGTCATTAAGTGATTTCCCAGACATAACAAGAGCAGCATATTTAGCCAAGGGATGGCCAATTGACTTAGAGACAAATGGGACAGTACGAGAAGCACGAGGATTTGCCTCAAGCAGATAAACCTCTCCAGATGCTGTGATAGCATACTGGCAATTCATGAGTCCACAAACATTGAGACTCTTTGCCAATTTTGTAGTCCAAGACCTGATAGTCGCCAAGCTGGAAGATGATATAGTTTGGGTGGGAAGAATGCAAGCTGAGTCACCAGAATGAACCCCAGCTTGCTCAATGTGCTCCATTATCCCACCTATTACCACGTTACCATATGAATCTGCTAGGGCATCCACGTCAATCTCAACGGCATCAGATAAATATCTATCAATCAAAACAGGACGTTCTGGGTCCACCTCAACAGCATTTTCAAGATAGGTCACTAGCTTTTCGTCATTATATACAATCTCCATTGCGCGGCCACCCAGCACATAAGAAGGACGAACAACAACAGGGTAACCTATTTCTGTTGCAATAGTAAGTGCATCAGCTTCACTCTTAGCTATGCCTCCTTTTGGCTGCTCAATCTGTAACTTTTTAATAATTGCATTGAACCTCTCTCTATCTTCAGCAGCATCAATGGAATCTGGTGATGTACCCCATATGCGCACACGATCAGCTCCACTAGAAGCAACGGGCTTATGTTCATCTAAATACTGCTCGATAGGCAGAGCCAGCTTCAGGGGTGTTTGACCTCCGAACTGTACAATGATTCCATCAGGCCTTTCGAGATCAATTACATTCAGAACATCTTCAACTGTCAAGGGTTCAAAGTAGAGACGATCACTTGTATCATAATCAGTGGATACTGTTTCAGGATTTGAGTTCATCATAATTGTTTCATATCCTGCACTCTGCATACAAGGAAAGGGAATGCAATAAGGAAATATGAAGATGATATACCTAAAGCTAAACATTTGACTGCAACAAGGCAACCAACAACAAATTTTCATAGGAATTTGTCCATAAGACGACTATAGAATTACATGAAGCCCTCAGAATAGCTTTTATATCAGATTATGCATTCATGTAACAGCAAAAGAGTAGGCAGTACAGAATTGAATACAAATATCTATCCAGCCACAGATGCAAATTGTTTAGATGTACCCTGATGCAATTCAATCAACAACAATCCAGTACGCAGACAAATTTTATTTGTGCCTATTATTAATTACTCTCAACAACAAACATGTTTATTTAAAAGCTAAACATTTGTCTTAACAACACTTAACATGCACTTAAGAAAAAAAAAAAAAGTCCAGTGATTTCCAGCAAATAAGTGATTAAGACAAAGTCTGGATACAAGTTCTTTCTTGTAAATCAATAGTTTCAGGTCATTCATTAAAGTTTATTCAATTCAAAGGTCTTAAGTACTGGGTAAAATTAAAAACACAAACCTGTAGTGCAAAAGATGTATGGCAACAACAGTAATCAAATTCAATTCCTTGCCCAATTCGATTGGGTCCCCCACCTAAAATCAGAACCTTCTTCTTTTTGGTGGGAGCTGATTCACACTCAAAATCATAGGAGGAGTACATATAAGGAGTATCAGCCTCAAACTCTGCAGCACAGGTATCCACCCTCTTATATGCTGGAGTAACTCCAAGAGACAGCCGTCTAGATCTAACTTCCTTCTCAGTTGATTTAGTAGCAAAAGCTATCTGCTTATCGCTGAAACCACGCTTTTTAACCTCATAGAAGTCATCCTTAGTCAGAGCAGACAAGCTCTTAGTCATAAGATATTGTTCCACATCTATCAATGCTTTAAGCTGAGTAAGGAACCATTTATCAATTAAACTTAGTTCATGAATTTCATCAACTTTCATTCCCTTCTTCATTGCAGCATAAACAGCATGAATGCGATCTGGGTTCGGAACTCGGAGACTGTACTTCAACTGGTCCCAATCCCAGTCAAGTTCTTTAACTTGTCCGCAACCCCATCCTGAATATCCCAACTCCATTGACCGAACTGCTTTCTGAAAGGACTCTTGAAATGTCCTACCTATCGACATGGCTTCACCAACAGATTTCATCTGGGTTGTCAGAATTGGCTGTGAACCAGGGAATTTCTCAAATGCAAACCGAGGGATCTACATATGGATAAGAAAATTCAAATCATTATGGTAAGAAGGATGAAAATTTTGCTGAAGTGACCAGTGAGAAACAAATCAATTATGAAGTGAATTGACAAGGTAAAATTGATGATGAGGAAAATACATAAATATAAAATAAAAATATTAAAATTATTTATAAAACTAATCTTTGCGTCCTGTAGTGCTATGCATACATAATATTGTTGATGAAATTGAGATGGATCTGTAGCATTCTAATATCTCGAGGCAGCATCCAGCTGTGAGTATTACAAATGGCCACCTTCTTCACAATGGTAACTGTAGTCATTAACCTCCAAAACTAAGCACACTATTATATAGTTTAGAATTAGACCTCCAACTTCATGCCCAGATTAGTGAACTACCGCAACCAACTTCTTTCAAACCAATCAAGTCACCACTAACAAAAAGAAGAGGGAATGAGAAAGGAATGAGAAAGTTAGTTATTCACATTTGCTCCATGCATTTTGAAAAAATCATCTCCTTATAACTACAACAGTTCACCTTTTTTCTTTTTTCTTTTTTCCTTTTTTTTTTTTTGGACAAACAACCTTGCCAAACAAAAAAAATTAATACGTCCCTTAAAAATAAGTCAGGTAAACAAGCAAAAATTGCTTATCTTAATTGCTTATCTTCCTAATTAAATTAAATCAAACAGAAACATATGCAGTAGCTAAAATAACAGATACTTACCTTAGTCACCACATAATCTATAGAAGGTTCGAAACTTGCTGGAGTCTTCTTAGTAATATCATTAGGAATCTGGTCCAATGAATACCCAACTGACAACTTAGCAGCCATTTTCGCGATAGGAAAGCCAGTAGCTTTAGAAGCCAAAGCTGAAGACCTCGAAACTCTAGGATTCATCTCGATCACCATAACCTCACCATCAACAGGATTAACAGCAAATTGCACATTAGAGCCTCCACATTCCACTCCAATCTCCCTTATAATCTTAATTGAATAATCCCTCAATCTTTGATACTCCTTATCAGTCAAAGTCTGAGCCGGAGCCACGGTTATTGAATCACCTGTATGCACCCCCATTGGATCAATATTCTCAATTGAACAAATAATCACAACATTATCAGCTAAATCACGCATTACTTCCAATTCATATTCTTTCCATCCTAATAAAGATTTCTCCACCAAAACTTGTGAAGTTAAACTTGCAGCCAAACCCGCCTTACAAATTGCCTCAAACTCCTCTTTATTATAAGCAATACCGCCTCCAGTCCCGCCCAAAGTAAAAGCCGGTCTAATAATTAATGGAAACTCTCCAATTTGATTAGCAATTTCAATACACTCATCAAGAGTATTCCCGACACCAGACGGCGGCGTTTTAAGACCAATAGTTTTCATAGCTTGCTTGAATAAGTCTCTGTCCTCTGCTTTTTTTATAGCATCAAGTTTAGCTCCAATTAACTCCACATTATACTTCTCTAGAGCACCACTTTCAGCTAAAGCCACCGCTAGATTTAACGCCGTTTGGCCACCCATGGTGGGTAGCAAAGCGTCCGGTCGCTCTTTTTCTATCACTTGCTCTACTAACTCCGGCGTCATTGGCGTAATGTAAGTTCTGTCTGCCATATCCGGGTCGGTCATAATAGTAGCCGGGTTCGAATTAATCAAAATGACATCGTATCCTTCTTCTTTCAATGCTTTACAAGCTTGAGTACCTGAGTAATCGAACTCGCAAGCTTGCCCAATGACAATAGGACCTGCTCCAAGAATCATAATTTTCTTTAAATCTGTGCGTTTGCCTACTTTGGGAGTTTCTGTTAAAACCTTCGTCGTCATTTCCGCGCTGCAACGGACAGAGCTGACTCGGTGGCACCGCTTTGTGTGGCGGCTCCGCCGTGGCTGCCATGGCTGGAGATTTAGAGAAGAAAACTTGTGATTTTTATGAGTAAATAAACCCAAATTACTCGATTTGGAGATAAAGGGTAAGCTGTAAGAAATTGATTTGCTGGAGAAAATGGAAGTGGAAGAAAAAGCTTCACAGTTGGCTAAAGAGTGGCTCATTTTCGCTGCAGTGTGACACAGAGGGCGAGCGAGAGATGGTGAAAGAATTTAGGGTTTTCTTTTCTCCTAATTTTTATAAAATAAAAGGATATCTAAAAGGAGGTTCTGGTTATGACTGAGGATATTCTCATTGTTGCTGACTAATGAAATTTTGTACAGGAGCTGTATATAGTGTTTGTTATATAAAGAGAGCTTTAGGGTTTTGGGATATGGACGAGGGGAGAGGGGTTAGTGCCACGTGGAAACTAGTGATGAAGCGGGTTATGGATTCGGTTAACCGGAGCCCATTTGGCATGTTGGTTGGAATGAGAAATAAGTTCGGGTTAATGTACGATCGGGTTAATGTACGGATTAATCCATTTACAACATATTAAAAGCTAGGAAACATTATTTTAAAAAAAACAATAATAAATAGGTACAATTTTATATTCGTAAATGATCTTGATAAGAAAGATTAACATTTGAAATAATAATAATAATAATAATTAGTCATTTTCAACGTGTACGATAAAAGAAACTCTTTGTAATTTTATCATTTCAAAACTATTAAAAATTATATTTTATATTAATTTTATAATTAACATTTAGAAGTAGAAAGAAATTTTTTATAAAATATTAAACAGTTTAACTTTTAATTTTCAATATTCAATTTTTTAATAATTTTTTTCTGTAACTAAAGTCTAATAAAATAATTATTTATGGTTTTAAAATAGCTAATTAACTAATCATGAAGCCAAGAAATGACATATGAGAAAAGAGGAAGACGTCTCTCCCACTGTGATGTTGGAAGGGATAATTATCTACAAACCAATCAAGCCACGTACACATGTCACAGTCTATCTACAAATGGATTCTTCCTGTCTTTTCTATCTTTCTTTTTCTTTGTAAAAAAAGAAATGAACACAAATGAAAAGAAAGCCACCACAAAAAATAAAAAAATAAAAAATAAAAGCAACGGAAAAGAAAATTTTCCATGAGATATCATGAGCTCAACATGGTATTATGTGATACGAAAGTTGAACAACAAAATCAGAATAAAATAAATGCATTAAAGATAGAAATCAAACCAAATATTATTACAAATATAATTTAACCAGAAAATTATAATTTTTATCTTAACTTTTTGTTAATTTTTTTTATTAATAAGTATCGATTAACCATTTTGAAATGGAAGTTTTTACTAATTTAATGTAAATTATTACTAACAGAAATAACCGATCTTTTTCTCGCGTAGCATATGTTCCAAATCATTTGACATGTATTGATTAATGAATTTCTCGAAGTGGTTTTGTATCATAGACAAAAAAAAAAAAAAAAATTGGATAAAATTTGAAATTATAGTTAGCATGTTAATTTGGATAGGTAGGAATTATATGTCATGTGTGGTGTTTCTAAAAGGAGCCTTTTCTCCACCAGACTAGCCAACCGGGGGAGCATAGAATTTTAGCATTTTAAGCATAACATGTCTGATACAGTAGTGTCTTGGCTACAATAGTTTAGTTTTAAAACTCGTTAACATGGAGGGTAAATAGGGGTTGGTATGTCGGGTTTAATACCAACCCGTTTAATACGCGGTACAATTAAATTTAATTGATCCATTTAGCAGGCAATATGATTAGAATCAATACAAGTAATCGTGATTTAAGTTCGAACATGATACTAAAAATATAGAGAGGTTCTCTAGTTTGTCTATGTATAGGTTTTTCTTATCAATTATGAGCATAGGTTCTTTGGATGTATTGGAGAAAGCTTGTTGGCTTGGATTTAGTTTCGCTCGGATTTAATAAGTTTTTTCCTTTTTATTATTATTATCTAATAAAATTGATTTGATTGCTGACTTAAAAAAAAATTAAATAGGTAATATGAATACTATATATATATAATCCGTTTAATTAAGCGAGTCATATATAGATCTAAATTAAATGGATCATACATGAATCACATATATCTTAAAAAAATCTAACACTTTACCCTTCATAAACATATTAGACAAGTTCTGCGAGTCAACCCGTCACGCTCATTCAAATTTGCATCATATACGAGTTATTTATTTATGACACGAAATAATTTAGGCACAGCCCTAATTTGTTTAATTTGTGTGTTATGTGAATCATGTTCTTGTGTCGTAACACTTTGACACCACTATTCAAAAAGTAGCTAATGAAATTAGAGGTTAATCGTGACTTCTATCCGCTTCTGATTAAGAAGCTTAATAAATACCAACAACTTTATTATTAGGTGCAAATCAATTATTGGTTGCATAAATTAACTGAACTAAATGACCTCTTAGTAGGATTTTTATTTTCTAATTAGTTGTTGGACTTAGCCTAACCATGAATGTGACTGCTACCATCGATCATAATCTCTGAATTTAATTAATAGTTTTTAAAATTAATAGAACTTAGAGAATTTTCTCTATATTCACATCTCTCTCTTTTAGTGGTATTTCTAGTTGTATCTTTAGAGATACCATCCATAGCGATTTAATTGTCTACTCTATCATCGCCTGAATCATCCATAGCGAAGTTTTGATATCTTCAAAATTGGATTCTACTGCATTTATTTGTTTGTTCTACAATTTAAATTTTACCTTGTTCGTGATTCAATCGATTCTGCTCTTTTTCATTCTATATCTACGATCAATTGTTTTATAAATTTGTGAATTTTACAACTCCGTTGTTCTATGGTCTCATAGGACCCAGTGGATTTTATAACCAATTGTGTGTAATGTCTATATTAAATATGGTGCTGCTCCCTCTCATGCTACTATTAGACACAATAACTATTCTCTATCTTTTCTAAAATGCATCTTATCACATTCTTTTTAAAATCTGAACAAATGGCAAAAATAATATTATTTAGAAAATTATTTACAAATTAATTTAAAATTATATATAAATCTAATATTTGTATTGCACTAAAACTAAAATTTAATTAGTGATTTTAGTATCAAAATAAAAAGTTTTCTGTATTGTTCAATAGTTAGTGAAAAATAATTAAAATAATAAATAACAATTTTACTTTGTGAAGAATCCACCAAATGAAGTAGCAGTTTCAATACTAAAAATAATATATTTAACTGATCAAGATGGTTATATCAGATTGAAAAATAGTTTTTGCATAAAAAATCCTCCTCTATAACTATGAAATTAATTTTATTTATATTGGAATAAATAGAATTATGTAATTTAAGTATTAAATTTTTTTGATATACACATTGGAATATCATTATGAGATATGATTAATTTAAGGAATAAAAAATGTTATTAACATTTAAAAATTATTTATTTGCCAACCAAGTATGATAATTTAGCCTTTTCACTTATAGGAGAGAAGTAACAAGTATTAGGTTCCAAACCTTTCGACTATACGAGTTTTCACCAATTTATTAAGTAAATAATAGGTCTTTCGACGCTTTGGACCTTCTAATAAATAAAAAAATTTATTTATTCAATTTTGTTTTTTTGGAAAATTTTTAAAAATATGTTGTTAATAATGTTTTGCGTATTCTTTGCATTATAAAAAAACCATACTTTATGTAATTTAAACTAATAAAACTTTATATTATAAAGTATAAATAAAAAGTGCAGCACCCAAGCATAAAAGCTAGTTTGTTAAGGAATATGCCTTCTAATTTAAAAATAAAAAAAAAAATAATTGTTTCGTGTATTTACAATTTCATCCAAACCATTGAGTTTTTGAATTTTATATCGATTTTAAAATATCAATTGCAATTTTACTTTATAGTCAAAACTGATATTTCAGGGCATCACCACTTAGGGGCGATCACTGTTAGGAAGGAACTAACTGAAAGTCTGAAAGTCCAATTAATTGGATTGATTTCTTGTGATTTGATTGGAATTTATTTTTCAGACTGAAATAATTGAACAGTTTTTAATTTGCATATAATTTTATACAGTGTCTAATCAAAATTTTTTTACTCTCCAAAGTAATTAAATGAAGCCTAATTAACCAAATCAAAACAATTTCAATTATTTTGTTGTTTGGTTGGACTCAGTTATCTGAATTATGTCTTCAATTGGTTTAGTTTAAATTGATTCGGGATCAAATCAATCGATGTGCGCCTGTCCAAGTAAAAGTGGCAAGTCAACTTTAGGCATAGTCAGTTCATTAAACCGTCAATTCCGTGTCGCCGGAAATTCCGATATGGTTCTGATGAATTAATAATTTCTATCATAGTTTTCGGCGACATAAATATTACTTTAAAAAAAAAATTAATTTTAAAGTTACTCCTTTCTTTCAAAAAAATAAAATGAATTTAAAATATTGATAAATTTTATTTTAAATAGCTTTTAAAATGTTCATACTCATATAGAAATAAATTTAATTAACTTTACAAATGAATACAAAATAATTAAATAAATTATCACTTTATTTTATCTAAATATTATTAATTAAATCAATTGTTAGAAAATTTTGAGAAATGCTTTAAGCAATGTAATTTCAAACTAAGTAAAAAAAATAAAAGGAGAAAAATTTAAATTCCCATTTATATCAAACAATATAATTTTAAACTAAATATTTCACATTTTTTATTGCTATTTTACTTTTTTAGATTTTCAACTTTTTAAGTAAAGCATACTATGCAGTCAAAGATTTATTTAGAATAAGCTAAGTGATTATAAATTTTTGAAAATAAAAAATATAAATTTTTTGGTTCGAATTAGATTATAATCACTGATTTCAGACTGATTCAAGTTCACATTTTAACAACTCACATGATCTTTAACTACAAATTTTGATTCAAAATTTGAAACCAACAATTTCAGTCTAATTTTAATTTATCCATAATACGCTATAGTTCTGATTTGATTTCAATTCAAACCGATCCGACGGCAATGTGTAGTTAAACACCCCACCCCCCGGCGGGGGGCGGGCCGTCCTACGGAGCTGGGGTATCGACTGAGGGCAAGGAAATTAGGCAAACCTTTTCGTCATGTAGATTTTGAAATTTGGACATTGAAAAGTCAACATGGACTGGAAGCTTCGTTGTAAGTTCAGATATAATGGAAAGACAAGTCAAAGTGGACCTTGGTTGTTGAAATAATAATTAAATCTGACATTTCTTTTGACTTTTTGTTGGCATTTTGGAAAAGAAAAATGATTCAGAACTTAAACAGACAATGAAAGAGCAAAGAAAATCTTTTATGAATCATATATTAAAATTTTAATTGCAAGCAAATTTAAATTACTGAAAGAAAAATTAATAGACATGACTTCCGTTTATTTTTCAAATGAGTTGAAACTTGAATTGAGCCGCGTAGTTAATTTTTAAAATAAAATAATTTTAAAACTATCAATTTCTGCTTAAAATTAAAATCAAATAGTGATTTTGATTGGTTTTACTTTTTTTTTAATGCTTGAAAGAATATATAATAAGAAAAATAATAAATTATTATATTTGAAAAATAAAGAATACGATTGGTTTCAGTTATTTTCATTGTTAAAATGTAAAAGGAACATTAAGAGTATAATTATTTTTATATATTATATTGTCTAATGTACTATTTTTTTTTATTTTGGATAGTGTTATTCTCAAAGCTAAAAATGTTAATGCCAAAACAATTTTTTGAAATTGACAAAATTATCATTTCCCTTTATTCATCTTATCTCTTTCATATTTCGCTCATCCAAATACTTTTTAAGAGTAAAAAATAAATATTGTTTATTCCATGATATTCAGGTAAAGAATAATTAATTCTATAATTCTCTGATAAAATTATTACAAAATAAATTGGAGAACGCAAATTAGAAATACTCTTTTAAAAAAAAAAAGAAGTTTATTAAATGGCATATATTTTATTTAGCATGATCTGTGCATATTTATAATCATACCTTTAACATAATATCAGTAATATAAACTGTTTTTTTTTTATTTTTTGAAGAGTAATATAAACTGTTTAAATTGTACAAAATTGTTTGATGGTTTTTATTTTACAAAATTGTACAGTTAATCACCAAATAAAAATTTGATTATAAAACTTTTTTTTTCTTTTTTGGGAAATAACATCATTATGGAAGCAGAAGCAGAACCTTATTATTAGCACGTGCCGAACTTTAAGCATAGTTGGACAACAATAAATAAATCAGAAGTCGCTTATAATTGTCTTACAATAATATGTGTTTTTAGTTATTTTTAAGAAAGATACGCCGGCAAGTCGGCTACGAGCCTACGCTTCAAGAATTGATAATTGAATCGGCCCTGTCAAAAATGATACACTAACGTGCCTCTTTGACGTGCTTTGGTTTCAACCCACCACGCGTTTTTTTAATTTTTTTGCATTCCAACACTTGTAATTTCTCTAATTATTCTTCTTTTCGGCCAATTGATTTTTTCATCTTTCGTCTCTTTCCTCGCTTCCCTGCTCTATCTCTCTGATCAATTCACCCATTCCAACCTAACAGCAATTCATTCTCGCAGCTTTACTTTATCTGCGAGAGTGAAATTGTAAAAGGCGTGTTCTTTGGTAGAAGAAAAAATGGTTCAAATCAAGGAATTGTATCCTTCTCTTCAATGTTTATGTTTGACGATGATTAAATGAAAGTTTGTGTTCATGAATTATATATTTGGATTTGTTCACGAATGATTTGAATTGGGATTGCTCCAAAATTCAAAATTTTGGATTTTATTTTATTTTTTATTCAAAATTTACGAGCTTGTTTACATTTCATTTTACTGGAATATAAATTATTTTATATCTTGGGTATTTCCATGACTTGTGAATTGTTACGGGGTTTTTGCTGTGAAGCCGAATTGTCATGCCCATGTCAGTGGAAGAGGTATGACAAATTATGCGATTCCCGCATTTATATGCATATAATATTTTTTCGTTTGCTAAAAGAATTTTTTTTATATATGTATATATATGATTTTTGTTTTTGGGTTTGCAGTATCAGATAGCCCAGATGTACATGGTCATGAGGATGCAGCAACAGAATACAAACGGTGCTGAGGGTGTTGAAGTCTTGGAGAATAGGCCATTAGAGGATGATCTACTTGGAACGTGTCAATACACATCCAAAGTTTATCGGTTGCAAAGGTAATTCTGAGTTGGGAAAATTGAGATACTTAGTAACGTAGTATTTATCAACATAAGACTCTAGTAGGCTTAGTGGAAAATTAAATTTGGTAAGATGGCGCTGAATTGGTAGTTCACAACTGCAATCAACTCTGTTTTTTCTGACCTTTACTACCACTGATTGGAATTCAAAATATTGCCTTGCCATGATTTGAAAAGAAGAAAGGAAAAAATTTAATGGTTTTGAGCCTTTTGGCTGTTATTCATAGATGAACAGTTTCAGGTGACTTATAAGCATGGGCTAGGTTGTGCACTGATAATTTGTGTATGCTTGTATGTCTGTGGCGATGGTGCATTTAACTATAGGCACTTAGCTTAATTATATTGCAGTCGATTATATGATCACTCTTCTGTTCTTGCTGATATAATTCTTGGTTGCACTAAGATTAATGATCGATAATCAATATCATGGCTATGAAGAGTATTGACCACTAGAAATTGATAGATGAGACACGTATAATTGAATGCTTTTAATGTCAAAACATTCCCAAGGACATCAAGGTCTCTCTGGTGCTAACAATAATGGTCAATGCTAAAACTGTAAAGATGTTTGGTAATCAAAAGAGGCATTGGCTTATGTCATTCATTTTTCATTAATAAAAAAGACAAGATCATAAGATTAGAGTAGCATGAATGGAAGTGTTACTTTGGTTGGACACTTTCCGGTAGAAATGTGATTCAATGTATTGAGTTTGGGCATGTGAGGCCCAAGTACTGTACAGAAGAATTTAAATTAGTTTGTTCATTAGATAACAGAATGGAGGAGTTTAGTTGTTTTTTTTTTCCCTTAAGAACTACAGGAAAGTTTTAGAGACAGATGGTTTGTTTACCTTCATTTAAGTGTTATGCCTTTGGGAGAGGGCTGTTGCATTTTGGACAAGAATTTATTTGCCCTTTTTTCTGTGAATTTCATCTCTCTCTTTCTTTCTGTTCCCATTTTTTTTCAGGAAACTTTCATGGTTTTGACTGCTTATAATTTTGACTTTAAGAATTTTGGTTGTCAATGAAACTACCTATCACTAATAATCTGTGTAATTTCTTCACTATGTTGATACCTGATAATTTCTTTACTGTTTTCTCTCACTTTCTCTCTCTCTCTACACACAGACACACAACAGTTTTTAATCCTTGAGGTGTTGATCTCCTGTTTATTGCAATTCTGTTTGCAGCAAAGCACCCACTTGGCTTACAACTTTTGCACCAGCGGATGCCCTCATCATGCAAGAAGAAGCTTGGAATGCGTATCCAAGATGCAAAACAGGTTTGCCATGTTCTCTTGCTGGAGTTCTGATATTCTATTTTTATTTCTATAGCTAGTTAACTTGTATTGACATTTTTTTGTTGGTTCTGGATATATGGATGCCACAACACCAGTAATCAAGGTATAATTTTTTTGTTTCTTGGTTGCAATTTACAAAATTTCTGTTTTTCTTGCAAACAAACTTCATATGACAGTCAATAGCATGCTCATTTTGGTTTGGGGGTTTTTGCAGTGCCCGTATTTCACCAAGTTTTCTTTGACTGTTGAAACTATTCATAGGGCTGACAACGGTCAATCAGAAAATGTAAGTTTCTTTATCTATAGGTTTTGTGTGGATTTCAGAAATTTTATGATCTGATGTATCACCAGCAAGTGAATGTTTCTGCAAACATTCTTCATTGGTGATTTCTTTAGCCTTTCATGACCTGTGAAGCTTGTCAAACTAGGTGCATGGTTTAACCAAAGAACAACTAGCAGTCAGGCAGGTCGAATATATTGATATAGCTTCAGCAGAGACAGATTATTGGAGTTATGCAATTGGAAGTAACAATATGGACTTCTCTAAATTCAAATCCTTGAGAACTGGTCGTGGTCCACTTTTGGATGGATGGCAGGTTAGTATCTAACCTACTAGTTATTGAACACATTGTGCATAAACACATGGATGTAAACTACTTTTGGAATTTGATTTGGGCTCTTTCATTATTGTGGCCATCTGTTTATTGTAGTGTCTCCCTCACTCTGCAACTTGTTTTAGGAATTTTCCACTTATTACCCTTCCCTTTGAGAAGAATAGGTGAAAAAGACATTCCATTTTTGAACTTAATAAATATATAAAAGCTTGTCTTGTTATTTTCCTTTGTCAGATAATGATAGTGAAAACTCAAGAAAACTCAGTAAGGTTGATCTTTTGAGCCCGCTTCAAGTCAGGATGACTAATCAACCAATCTTGGGGCAACCTCCTGATGCGCAACCTTTCCCTATAGTTTCCATAAACTAGAAGTCATTAAAAAAAAAAAAAAAAAAAATCAACTCTGCAAATCTTGTTTTAGGAATTCCACTTATTACCCTTCCCTTTGAGAAGATAGGTGAAAAAGACATTCCAATTTTTGAACTTAATAAATATATAAAAGTTGTCCTTGTTTTTTCCCGTTTGTCAGCCTAATGAAATAGTGGAAAACTCAAGAAAACTCAGTAAGGTTGATCTTTTGAGCCCGCTTCAAAGTCAGGAATAACTAATCAACCAAATCTTTGGGCAACCTCCTGATGCCGCAACCTTTCCCTATAGTTTTTCCATAACTAGAAGTCATTAAAAAAAAAAATTAAAAAAAAAAAAAAAAAAAATCTTTGGCTGTATATGGTAGAAATGTTTGATATCTATACAATTAGCTTTGCTGTTGGTTGGAAAAAAAAAATATTTAGTTGCCTCCTTTTGTATCATCTTTTAAATACTTAGTCCTATACCATTTTAATTTGTGATTATTAATTATAGCATACTGATATTGCAGGATAGGTGCAATCCCGTTATGACAGCATACAAGTTGGTAACAGTAGATGCACCATACTGGGGCTTTGGTTATCGACTTGAACAGGCTTTATTAGCGGTAACCTTTATTGGGCTCTTTGCAAGATATGACACTATTTCTGTTCATTTTTACTCCTTAGGCAAATAGCTTTATGTCTTAAGTTTTCTAAGGAATTATCATTTTGGTTCTGGCTATCAAAAGTATCAAGGGAACATTAAACAGACGCATACCAAAAGCAAAAAAAAAAAAAAAAAAAAAAAAAAGAACCTGAGATTTGGAAGTATTACACTTGGGTCAGGCTTTTTCAAATTGAGGAACATGATCTTAAAAGTTCACATCAAAAAAAAAAAAAAAAAAAAGAAAACCTGAGATTTGGAAGTATTAACACTTGGGTCAGGCTTTTTCAAATTGAGGAACATGATCCTTAGTTCACATCCCTTTATCTTTTCTGTTACGATATCCTTCACTTTAGCACCAGAGTTTCTAAATGGAGCATCTAATTAATATTTCTGGTTTATTATGCTTTGATCCAAACTTTTATAGACTAAAAGACTGTTCTGCTTAAAAACTCGGGGATTAAATAGTTGTTCCAACTAAATATCAAGAGACGAAAATCTTTTGAACAAAAGAGGACCAAAGAGTATGTTCTGCTAAATATCAGACTCTCTTCTCTTTTAAAAAGTAAATATTCGTAGCACAAAAGTTTAAGTAATTGTTAATGCTCAGTTTCCTTTTCTAACTTTAGAGCACCATTGACAAATATACGCATGGTAGACAAGATATTGGAAAAAAAAAAAATTACAAAAGGATACTCCAAGCCTAGAGCACAGTGTGCTATTATTGATGAAAATAGCACTATTTAGTCCAGTTTAACTTTATGATATATTTCTTATTGTGTGAACTGCAAGTTTAATGCATGTTCTCAAAATCAACTTATGCAGGGGGAAAGGGCTCTTTTCTTAGAGAGTCATCGGAATTGTTTTGTTTGGATTGATGAATGGTGTGAGATGACAATGCAACAATTACGTGAACTTGAACGACAGAGCGATTCATCATTAAATAAGGTAAATAATAGTTTGAACTTTGAGAGAATTTTAAGACAGTAAAAGAAGCTGATCTTGCATCAGCTTCCTTAAGTGGAGCAATACATATTATAACTGGATGGAAATCCTTGTGGAGCTGAGTAGGTAAGTGACATTGTGTTTATGCGATGATAACAGAAAATTGGGATGCCAACAGCAATGGCAACAGCAGAAGAATTCGACCAGAGATTGTTGCTTGACAATGAAGATGCTAACAGCAAGAGGATTCAAGTTGCTGTTGATACTTAGGAAACAAAATTGGATGAAGTCTCCATATTGGAATTGTTTTGTAATGTTATTAGAATTATTTAATTTGATTACTTAATCATCCTCCACAAGAAATTGTAAATTTGATGATAGCAGATATATTATTCTTTTGGAGGAGGCCATAGTTATGTCGTATGTATATTAGGATATTATTGGCAACATTTTCTGAAGAAAAAATCACAGTTTTTTTCTTATTGACTTAATTTTCACAATTATTACTTTCATGTCCATTCTTCTAGGTGCTTTTTTTCCAAGTCCGTACTAGCATTATTTGGACCATTTCTATTTCATAAAAAAAATATTTATTTGGAAAATAGTTTTGTTTTATATTTCTGAATTCAATATGCTATGAACAATTGAGGGAAAATTATATATATATATATATATATATTCACGATCAAGGGTGTAGTACTATTTGTTGTAGTGATTCTTATATATCATATCATTAATAAGATTATCGAAAGAAAAAATCAAGGGTGTAGTACTATTTGTAGTAGTTGTTCTTATATATCATATCATTAATAAGATTGTCTAAAGAAAAAATCTATATTTGACGGGTTCTTCCTATACCTATGAATTCCATTGAATCCAGAAATGATACATTGAAAGAATCTCCTTTGGGTCTTCCATTCCAATATCAATAAATTGATTGTTTCGCTACTGTAACTTTCAAAAGGGCTACTGTAACCTTCAAAAGGAAAAGAAGATGAGAGCTCTTTCCTGGATGCAAAAGAGAAAGCCAATAATTAAAAAGTCTGAATCTAACTAGGATTTACGGAATTTTAGTTGTAAGATATCTAACGAAACCGCTGCTGGTATTGAAATCTCATTCGAAAAAAAAGATATCAAATATCTGGAGTTTCTTTTTTTGTGGATGATCCGATCCGCAATATATATATATATATATATGTACAGTTTTTGTATTCTTTTTCCTATAACCTTTTCTTTCATTAGAAAACCCAGGACATAAACTTTTCAAAACTTTTGGCTACCTGTTCCATTAACTTTTGGAACTTCTCCAAGCACTGCAGCGATTTTCCAGAACTGTCCTATCCAGAAATAGCAATCATTTCTCCTTCTCTAACCGCCAGATTAACATTCCTTAATGTAGCCTTTGTTGCAGATCAGTTTTCCATGAAATTTCCATAGCCCTGATAAAAGCAGACTCGTTAAACTATTTTCTACTGCAATTCTGCCTTACATTTCTATTCTGCAGATTTGGTGCTTCAAGAAACTTCACTATATCGTCTAAACTTTTGTCTCAATGAAGGTTCCCACAACATCAGGGCTTAACCTAATTAGTTCATGAACAATGTGCAAACTGACCAGAAATGTGAATGAACTATTATCACAAAGTGAAGTTCCAAAGAACTAACTTCCAGAAAGTAATAGCTGGTACTATAACCGGACATGACCATTTCTATACCATTCTCAAATGTGTCTCCCAAGCATACGACTTCGAGGCCTTCACACTTGCAAGTGCCTTTGTAATAGCCTTCAGCCTGTGATCTTGTGCTTCCATGGCCTTTCTTTGATACTGAAGCTGCAACTTGATCAATGAATAACATGAAAGAACAGTTAAGAAAAATGCAGTTACAGCTGCAAAAGCAGCAGTAAAATAAAACCATAGGTAGCAAAGCAAGACAAAACTGAGAGCTTGTAGTCCAAAACTGATGAAACCAAAATGGAAACTCGTCAATTTTATAAGCATCAGCAACCACATAATTCACTGTCTCACTACCAGAAGATTGAGCTATCGTGGCAGCATTTGATTCTAGTCTTGCTGAGTTATCCACATGTCCATCAGATTCTATAGTTTAACACCCCGTGGCAATTATCGATAGTCGTTTTCGTGCTGGACAACAAGAAATCTGAGTCCATCGGCAACATTCATCTCCAGCTGATGCTTCATGGGAATCTATTTACCTGAAAGGCCAATTTCCAGACTTTCGAGGGGTTCATGCATGGTAGAAAGAAGAAGGTACAACCAGGTCAACAAGATCAAGCTGGCATTTTCTTACAAGATGATGTCATGTTCTAGTGGATTTCAGACATTGTCTCGGTCATGATTTTTTCCTTATGCTGTTAGAGGGTTATCCTTCATAATATTTATGATTCCTTGTTTGTAGGACATAATTATTTCTCCATCCATATTTAAAGTACAAAAAGCTAATAAAAGATATATCAGAAAATTCCAAAAGATTTTGAGTACTTCTAAACTCAAGATATTTACAAGTTCTCTCAAATGAGCTTGTGCTATTACAATCATAGGCGGCAAAAAGAAATTTATCTTCCATCCCTCTCCTTCATGTTCAAATCCATTATTCCATCATTCCATAACTAGATCCATTTCTAAGGACCATAACCAGTTATTAGAGAGACAAACGAAGCTAAAGCAAAAGATATATGATAGTTTCTTATGTGTCTCTGGCTCATTCAATTGTAATTTCATTAATTGCAAATTAAGGCAAGATTCAGCCCATGCAAAAAAAAAAAAAAAAAAACAATTCCAATTGTAATTTCATTAATTGCAAATTAAGGCAAGATTCAGGCCCATGCAAAAAAAAAAAAAAAGTTCATAAGCAGGTTATACGTTTACATTTCATATTTTAACTCGATCTTTGCAAAAAAAAAAAAAAAAAAAAGTTCATAGCAGTTATACGTTTTACATTTCATATTTTAACTCGATCTTATTTTTTCCCTATTTCTAACTATTTACTAACTTGAAAATTAGAGTAATTTTCTTAAGTTTTACAAGTTCGTATATTAAGGATCTCCAATGAATGTTATTCAATCTCTTATTTAATCTCAATAAAGTTATCAAATATGAAATAAAAAACTATTTATATTATAATTTTTTTTAGTCAAATTATATGTTTCAATATATATTCAAGTATTAGACACAAACTGTAATATCATAACTAAAAAAATTAATTGTGTATAGCATCCACGTATTACATATATCGATGCGATATTGTTAAAAAGCTATATAGTTTTCAAGTGAGTTCCGTTTCTGTCAGTTATAAGTGTTTTCAATTTCGTGAGTTTATGGCAATATCATTTCGCCTAGTGGGTCTGATCATGAGTCAAACTGAATTGGAACAATAGGCTACACGTCAGATGTATATGTGGCAAAGAGTGGGTCTGATCATGAGTCAAATGTCGTTAAAAAAAATAATAATAATAAATAAATAAAAACAGAAAAACACATGCAGCAACAAAAGAAACCTTTCCGCTCATCAGGGAAACTTTTCCGGCCAACAGAATAAAGGTTTCTTCGTCAGTGAAATTGCATTAATTACCAGCGAAATTTTGGTTTAAGAAGCAACAATCTTTCCAAAATTCATTTAATCATTCATTTTCAATTCTCATTTTATTTTTTTTATTGATTAAAAATTTAAAATCATTTTCATAAACGGTTTCGGATTCAATCATAAAAGTGTCGATTTTTCTTTTGTTTATTCGTCCTTTTCAACAGATCAGCAGCGTTGATGTTAACCGATAACAACCATTCTTCTTTAATAGCTTCAAAGACCGTTAACGACCACTAGTTTATATATATATATATAGTTGGATTGGATGATTTTTCAATTTGGATAAGGCACAGTATCTATAGAGTGTGTTCTTCTGCTTCCACCGGAGGTTCAAAATGGCGGTGGCGTCGGCGCCGAAGGAGATCAAGGCTTTGTTTGGAAAGTATTCGGAGGATGGAATCATGACCGCTGATCATCTCCGCTTGTTCCTTGTTGAGATCCAAAAGGAAGATAAGTCTACTATAGAGGAATCGAGGGCCATTATTGATCAATTTCACGATGTCGCAAAAGGTCTCAGCTTGGAGGGTTTTTTTAAGTACCTCTTTGGCGATAACAACCTTGCTCTCGATCCTAAACGCGGGGTAATTTTAATTCTCCTTTCTTCTTTCATTTGATGGCTAAATTTTGGGCGTCGAGTCAAATGGGTTTGTACCAGTCTTTTTTGTTTGTTTTTGATAAGCAGCTAAATGGGAATTGGTTGGTTTTTGCATTTTTATAGTTTTGTTTGGATTATTATCTGTCAGTTGTGGTTTGTTGTTTGGTTTCACCCTGATATTGTTTTAAGTAGATAATTGCAGAGCTGGTGGGTACTCTCCTACATTAGGAAAGAAGGTCGATAACTCAAGATTTGGAGTATTCGGCTTACTTAAAAGAAGAATTTAAAATCAAGATTTTGACATTTTCTTAGTTTCCAGAAAAAACTCAACGAGGGGGGTAATCAAACTTGATCATTTGTCCCCTAAAACTGTTGAATTTTGTTTTTTGCGTCTTTTTTCGAAAATAATTCTTGATGAATAAAATTTTGGGTGTTTAATGAAATGGACTTTGTAATTATTTTTTCTTGTTGTTTTTGGTGAATAGCAAAATGGATTTCCTGTTCAAGTTTTTTGCATTTTCCGCCTTGTTTGGATTATTGAAGATGTTAGTTGGTGGGCCTTCTTTTTATGTGGTTTCCTCTTATTTTTTCAAGTAGCAAATTGGAACTTCTCAATATGAGGAAAGAAGGTCATGGACTCAAGATTTTGGAGTATGAAGGTGTAAAGCACTTAAAAAATAATTTAAATTTAAAATTAAGGTTGCCACTCACTGTTTTGTTTCCAGAAAAAAAATAAAAGTCAGAACGGGCATTACTGACTGTTGAATTTTGGAATTTACTGCTCTTTTACTGAATAGCTATTGGATGAGTAAAATCCTGTATTATGCTTCAACGTGTTCTAATATTTGCTCATGTACTTGACTCTGTTTAATATTTCTCTATAAATATAGATTTATCTATCATTTTCAACTAGTTATGTGCTGTACTTTTGAACGGTGATGGGGGTGAGTTTTAGTTAGTATAGTTGTTAATAAGAAGTAAATGGGAATGCGAAAATGAAGTTAATTAATTATTGCTTTTCCTTTTCTTTTTATCATGGTTATTTTTGTTGGTTTAGAAGAGCAGAAAATTAAGGAAGAGAAGGAAATTCTGCAGAAAAAGAAAAAGCTGCAGATTTTGTGAGTGTGAAGAAACAATTCCCCTTTCTTTTTAATCATGGTTTATTTTTTGGTTGTTTTGAAGAGCAGAAAATTAAGGAAGAGAAGGAAATCTGCGAGCCAAAAGAAAAAGCTGCAGATTTTGTGATGTGAAGAAACAATTAATTTCTTATTTAATCACCATACACGCAATACATGTAAACATTTATAGTAGACGCTAGTCCTAAAGTTTGTTCACGGCAACCTTCCATAAGTCAATGGAAGGTTGGTTTCACCAAACCTACCTAACACCTACCTCTTGATTTCAACAAAATACAACAAAATCTAAATGACTTTAACAAAATACCTTCAAAAATTGTCAACAACACTTGCATCAATAGCTGTAGCTGTAACTTTAACACTCCTCCTTGATACAAGAGTTGAGACAAACACCAAGTCTATTCCTAAGAAATTCAAATCTTGGTTTTTGCAATGCCTTGGTGAAAATATCCGCTGTTTGGTCTTCAGAATTGCAATGAATAATCTGAATTTCATTTTCCTTTTCAGCTTCACGAATTGCATGATACTTGATTTTGATATGCTTGGTTTTTTGCTTGGTTTTTCCATGGAAGATTGGATTTTAAAACCGCATAGCAACAGCTGATTTGTTTGTCACATAAGTAATTTTAAGTTGGATTTTCTTGCTGAAAATTCAGAATCAACTAATACTTTCTCACCCATATAGCTTGGTTTACAGCAGCAGATGCTGCAACATACTCTGGTTCTGGCAGTTGATTGAGGCAACTGAAGCTTGCGTTTCTTTGTTCCCCAGCAAATTGACAGCAGAACCAGTGAAAAACAAAAACGCAGTAGTGCTCTTCATATCGTCCAATGACACTAACCCAATCACTGTTCTTGAGAACCCAACAACTTCACACCATTTAATGCTTCTATAAACAAACCAAAATTCAGCAGTTTCCTCGCACATATCTCAGAAACTTCGTTTGGCTGCTGTAAAGAGTGGTTTTCAGTTGGAGAATTCATGAATCTCACAGTAAATTTGTTGCAAACATGATATCTGGTCTTGTTACAGATAAATACAACAAAGAACCAACCATGCTCCTATAAGTTGAAGCATCTATAGAGTGAGAACCATCATCCTTTTGCAATTTTATTCCATGGGCTATAGGTGTACTCACTGGTTTGCATTTGCTAAGTTCAAACCTTTTAAGCAGCTCCCAAGCAAATTTCTTTTGTGAAATAAAAATCACTTGCTCATCTTGAGCAATTTCAATCCCAAGGAAATAGCACATTAAGCCAAGATCATTCATCTCAAAAACCTGCTGCATCTTCAATCTGAATTCTTGAATTAATTGTAAATTGTTACCTGTGACAAGTAGATCGTCAACATAAAGTAGATCGTCAACATACACAGAAACGATAAGCACATCACTTCCTTGTTGAGTTACATAAAGTGTTGCCTCATTCAAGCTGCGTTTAAAACCCAAATTCTTCAAGTAATGATTAATCTTGGCATACCAGGCCATTGGGGCCTGTTTTAAACCATAGAGTGCTTTCTTCAATAAACACACTCTATTGCTTTCATCATTAAAACCTTCAGGCTACTCAATATACACTTCTTCCTTCAAAGAACCATTTAAGAAAGCTGATTTCACATCCAATTGAAAGACTTGCAACCCTTCACTTGCTGCTAGTGCCAAAATCAATTTGATAGTGTTAAATCTTGCAACTGGTGCGAAGGTTTCTGTAAAATCAACCCCTTGCTATTGAGCATAGCCTTTAACAACATATCTTGCTTTGTGCTTATTGATGGAGCCATCAGAATTTAATTTCAATTTGAATACCTATTTAGTTCCAATTACATGCTTATTCAATGGTCTAGGAACTAAAATCCATGTTTCGTTCTTCATAATCATCTTCAACTCAACTCCTCCTCCATGGCAGCTCTCCACTAAGGCAATTTTAAGGCTTCATCCACCTGAGTTGGTTCAAGTGAGACAATATTACATCTGTTGTAAATTTCCTCTAGGGATCTAGTTCCTCTAATTGCATAATCATCTTCATCTGATTCATCTTCATTGTCAGCTAGAAGTTCATGCTCTTGTTGAAAATGATCTTGTTCAAGAACTGATTTAGAATTTCCTGGTTCCATGTTACTCTAATCCCATTCACCATTCTCATCGAATTTGACACTCCTACTGACAGACACCTGTTTTTTAATAGGATTCAGAATTCTGTTGGCTTTGGATTCCCTGCTATAGCCTACTAAAATTGATCCAATTTCCCTCTTTTTGCATTTGGAATAAATGAATAACATATGCTTCCAAATATTTTGAGATGACCTACTGATGGTTTAACTCCAAACCAGCGTTCAAAAGGAGTTTTTCCATCAATAGCTTTGGTTGGAAGCCGATTTTGAAGATATACAACAGTGTTTATAGCTTCAGCCTAAAGAACTTTGGGTAATTTTTCTCAAACAAGAGACATCTCACCATATTCATCACAGATCGATTCTTTCTTTCACTTATAGCATTTTGTTGAGGTGTGTAAGTGTAAGCTACTGTTAATTGATGGTGAATGCCAGCTTCTTGCAAATATTGCTTGATTTGATTGGATGTAAATTCAGCCCCATTATCAGATCTTAAAATCTTGATTGGGGAGCCAACTTGATTCTCTACCATTGATTTAAACTTCAAGAACATTTTGAAAACTTCAGATTTGAATTGGAGGAAATATACCCAGCATAATCTGGTGTAGTCATCAATAAACAATAGAAAATACTTGCTGTCATTGTAAGATGAGACACTCATAGAGCCACACACATCAGTGTGTATTAATTCAAGTTTCATAGAAGCTCTCCATGCTTGATCAGATGGAAATGGTGTTTGGCTGAGTTTGCCTAACTGACATATTATACTAGTATTTTCAAATACAGATGGCAAATCAGCAACTAACTTCTTAGATTGTAGCAATTTTAATGAATTGAGATTGGTGTGACCAAGTCTCTTATGACACAAATCAGATTCTTCTTTATGACTCAAGCAAGATTCTTCTTCGAAGTTTCTTAAATTTAAAGGAAAGCTTCTACGTTTCATTTTGACAGAAAATAACTTTGTGCTAAAAGGATTACTAATTTCACAAGTTTTACCGTTAATAGCAATCTATAATTTTTATCCAGCAATTGACCAACTATAAACAAGCTTTGATTTAGTTCAGGTACATAAAGAACATCGAAAATAAGCTTTGTACCTGAAGGAGTTTGTACAATCACAGCTCCTTTGCCTTTGACATCAACAAGCCTACCATCTCCAAGTATGACTTTTGAGGAATAGTTTGTATA